ACACACACACACACACACACACACACACACACACACACACACACCCACACACACACACACACACACACACACACACACACATTACGTAATGGATTTAATATAAATGTCTCATGTATGTTATAGATGATTTACAAAAGACATTGAAGCAGATAGAGGAAGCTGTTACTCCGGAAGATAGAAAAATGCCGATCGCGAAGCTCGATGAAATCGTAAGGTTAGCGACGATAGCCGCGGATGAATGCGACTTCGGTACTTGCTTGGAACTAGGACACGATCTCTTCTCGAATGGCTGCATTCACGTACAAACTAGAGCTCTGGAAATGCTATTTATCGCTTACACTCATTTAAAAAGGCCACAGTTATTAAAAATACTTGAAGCACATTTGAAGAACAGGAAGAAGGATTGTGAATTAAGTATAATTTAAAAAAAAAACATTTAAAGACGGTTATACACATAGATACATATTTCTTTTAATCAAACTGATCACACACATCATACATGTTGACTATAGTCTTTTTAGAAAACTGATGTCATGTTACAAATAAAATAAACAATAAGATAATTAAAAATAAGATAATAATTAAATATAAGATAAGACTCGCGTGTATTTAAGCAAATGAAGAAAAATCAAAATTATAAACGAGCAAAAAATGAAAAGAACTAATACATATTTATTCAATCTATAAGTAAATTGAAGATTACGAGTTCGCTGCTTCCATTCCAATGGAACGTGTGGGAGTAACAAACTCAACTTTTGATTACTTTAATTATAAATTTGAATAAATATGTATTAATTTTTTTCTAACTTTATTTTTTGCTCATTTATAATCATGATTTTTTTTATTTGCTACAAACAAATTATTCCATTTTGTATGTATAAGATATATGTTATGCGTGTGCAAATGTAATTACTTTGAAAATTCATATATCTCTCTCTCCTAAAAATTTTCAATATCTTAAATTTAAATAAAATTTTTTAGGATGATATTTATAAAGCGAGCAGTGATAATTATGAAATAATCAAAATGCAAATGTAATATTTTTCACTGACAAAATAAAGAAAAAAATTATAAATTATATATGACAAAAATAGAAAATAAAATAATATTTAATCTGAGAAAATTAATAATTATATTAAAAAATATATCGCATATATTTTTATATATCCAGAGTTCTGTTCGCGTTATTTGAAATCCTCAACAATTTTTACACTTAAAATGAGATATTTATTTGGACGTTGAGAAGCGAAGATATTAAGTGTACAAAGAGCACAGAACGCGAACAAATCTATTGGTAGCATCCGACAGTGAGATTGGCAGCACTGCATGTCAGAGTGTTCAGTCACCACAACCACACTCCACATTACTCCACAGTGCTCCACGGTGCATTTGAGTCAATTCGAGTTTCGAGTGTTTGACGTTCATCGTGCCACGAACGCGCAGTGGTGTGCAGTGGCGTGACACTGTGCGCGACAGTGCGTGCGTGCGCGTTCCGCCCGTGGTCAGCAAAAATATGCAAAAGTATGAGAAGCTCGAAAAAATAGGAGAAGGTGAGCGCCGTTTGCGGTTGAAATTGCGGGGAATAAACGTCGTCCGGCGACGCAGTATCGTCGTCTGGCGACGCGCCGCGACTCGTCGTTTCCCGGTGTGCGTCATGTCCTCTTCATCTGTGCTACACTCTTTCTGTCAACACACAACGCAAGACCATATATCATTAAATTTTCGACTCGCTTTTTTTTTTAATTTCCAGGCACTTATGGCACCGTGTTCAAAGCCAAGAATCGCGAGACGCACGAAATCGTCGCGCTGAAGCGGGTGCGACTGGACGATGATGATGAAGTAGGTAGTGCTTATCCGATCTATCTTTTTCCCTTTCTTTTTTTTTCTTCTCTTTCGCACGAATCCCCCTCATCGCAATCCCCACCTGCTGTTTTGCCGCGACACGTTTTGCCGACGTTCCGATTAATCTAATTAATCGATCGCTCGCGTACTTTATTTATAACGCGTCGCTCGCCTCGTGTCGCGTCGAAAATAAATCTTCACGACGAAGGCCAGCGCGATCTCCTTGATAACAGCGTCTTATCGCTTGTGTGCTCTTTATATCCAAGGGTGTACCATCATCAGCTCTACGGGAGATCTGTCTTCTGAAGGAACTCAAGCATAAAAATATAGTTCGTCTCTACGATGTGCTACACAGCGACAAGAAGCTCACCTTGGTATTTGAACACTGTGATCAGGATCTTAAGAAGTATTTTGATAGTCTAAATGGAGAAATTGACTTGGACGTCGTTAAATCATTCTTGTAAGATGTTTGTTTCTTGAATTTCATCCCACTGTGGTTAACTTTTTGTAGAAAAATACTATTGGATCAGTAAAAAAATTATTGGAACAGTTTACAATATTTGATTCAAATAATTTTCCAATAATTTCCATTATTTTCAATAGTTTTTTCATGAGTCTAATATTTTTCCATAAAGAAAGATTGATAAAAAGATTTACGTCATTCCTTTCAGATATCAATTGTTAAGAGGACTAGCATTCTGTCATAGCCGTAATGTTTTACACAGAGACCTCAAACCACAAAACTTACTCATCAACAAGGTAAAAATGCAGTTACTAAATTTTTATATTTGAATATTTTTACAAAAATTCTTTTATAATATATTTAGATAAATATTTAGATAAATATTTTTTTTGCAGAGAAAATTTCTTATATATAACTATTTTATTATGTTTGTCTATTAAATCAGAGAATTATTTACAGAACGGGGAGTTGAAGCTCGCTGATTTTGGATTAGCAAGAGCATTTGGTATCCCTGTAAAATGTTACTCAGCAGAAGTTGTTACATTATGGTACCGTCCCCCAGATGTTCTTTTCGGAGCGAAATTATATACAACGTCCATTGATATGTGGAGCGCGGGATGCATATTCGCCGGTAATTGTCCCATAATCTTTTTCTTTTAAGAATTAAAAAGTAAATTGGCAAAACTTTTTATAATCAATATTTTTATAATCAATATTATGCATAAATATTTACGAATCTGTAATATATAAAGAATAAAATATCGATATTTTGTTTTCATGATACAGAATTAGCGAACGCCGGTAGACCGCTTTTTCCTGGATCGGATGTAGATGATCAGTTGAAAAGAATATTCAAAATGTTAGGCACACCAACTGAAGAAACGTGGCCAGATTTAACGACACTTCCTGATTACAAACCATTCCCGCAGTACCATCCCACGCAAGGACTGGCACAGGTTACACCTAAACTCACTTCAAGAGGCAAAGACTTACTCCAGGTAAATTATTGTTTACTTTAATCATTGAAATAATAGAATTGCGAAACATAAATTCAGAGAAATCCAAGTTCGGATTCTGAAGTGATATTTTTTGCAATAAGTTATTTACAGGGTAGGTTTTAAAGATGCTAGCATTATTATTAAATCAACAATTCAGTAAGTGTGAGATTTCAGTTTATAATATTGTTTAGAATTCGATAAACTGAATCGACGCATAGTATAGAATTGTATTTGTATATTCACACATAAATATTACTAATTTGTAAACATTAAGATATGCTTTGATCGAAAATAACTTTCTTCTC